GCCACATCGTCTAGATGTGAAGGTAATTCATGTTCAAAAACATCAAATACGTGGTCTCCAGTATTGCTAACAAAATAGCAACTCGCCCTTACCTCTTATCAGTGCCGATACAAGCAAAAAGGCAGCGTTCAACAAAACGTGCGCATAGGTGAAGCTACATTTACGCAGAAGCAAAACAAGGAGGACATCTCAGCATTTGCTCCAATAATCAGGGAACAGGACAAAAACCTCATCGAGAGGGTTTAAAAACGCGCGTTACATTGCGGGAGGAGAGGCATTGATTATACTCGAAAATTTGGGTTACTAGAGTTTATGGAGAAATTATATTTTATGTGTGTTTTGAGAGCTTTCGGCTAACAATAATGTTCCCGCGTTAAACTCATCGCGCGGCTCATGGTTAGCTCTTGGTCAGGTCGAGCCACGCTGTTCTAATACGGTCTCTCTCCGGGTTCGATCCCGATCAGAGCCTCCACTATAGAGTTTCGTTCTCTGCAATGTCCCAGTATATGTTGTACGTTGAACAATGAGGAAAATTCACTTTCAAAAGTTGGAGACAGACCGTTAATCTCAGTCACCGTACACCACACCCATCAACGATTTCACATTATTCAGGCGCTGGTTTTCGACGAGCGTTCGCACAGGATTGCGTTGAGAACTTTCATGTTGGCTGCGAAGCGCCTTGACATCAAAACAGCGAGGAATTGAGATCGTTGGAAAACACAGCCGATCTGAGCGTTAGCGGTGCGTGACATGCCAAATGCCGTACTCGCTTGCCACATTGATTGCGCAACAATGTATAGAAGACAATCGTTCTAAAAATGTTTCAATATCTACTTGCTTTGTACGAAGCCGCTTGCTACACCCCCAGCCAGCCAGATTGGAAGGAACGAGGGTTGCCAGATGCTTGGCGAGATTCCCATCTTGCCACAACACACAACCAAACATCCATGTCTGAGGTAGGATTCAAGTCCCTGACCCTCTGAAACAGAGGACTGCCTAAGTGCTTCTCCTTCACGATCTTGGCTGACCCCAGATCAGATTTTAAATAAATCAATGTTATCAAAATTTAAAAACACATTTTTCTTAACTTTAACCTATCAGCGTTGAACATCGGGTCGGGTATAGCATTCCTAGACAGGAGAGAAAGGGGACAAAGTGTATCATAAGCAGGAAGGCAGGTAGAACAGCTAGGTTCGTTTCTGTGGCCCTGCTCTCCATTATGAGAGTCAGCACAGAGAAAAAATCCTTGGACCAATGGAATCTATGAAAAGAATGTCTTTCTTGAAGACTGAATCACATGTTTAAGGGTTAAAGGAGCCAGAGAAGTTTAGCACCACAGACTCTTTACCATTTACAACCAGAATAATTGGAAACTTTCAAACAATTACACATCACCGAAGAAATGAACATTGTCCCTATGAAGAGTTATTACAGTTTATTTCAACCTTTCTAAGTATTCTGAAAGTAAAAATGTAATTCTGTTCCTCAGTTTTTACCTGTACCTACAAAGTATGAACATCTACGGCAACAACTGTTCTAATAAGCTATTTTACAAAAAGGCTATGAAAAGTATGTATATTATAATTTAATAGGATACGTTAAAAAAATGTCTTTTTACCAGAAGTGAAAATTTTTACAAATAGGAAAAATTAAGCGTACACAAAAGGGATTAAACATTTTTCTGTTTTTAGTATGTTCAAAGAAAAGATCTCTGATACCAATTAGTTAATGATGATGCATTAGGGCGCCCCTTGGCAGTATTATTTCACCTTTGGAACAACCACATCCAATGAGCTTTTCAAAACTATGTTTCATGTAATCCAACTTCTACAATTCTTGTAAAAAATAGTAATATCCCTTCTGCCAGTTCATTTTAAACTTGTGCAAGACTAAATAAAATATGATGTCAATAAACGAGTATTGATCAACAACCACAAAGAAATTTTCACCAGTTACACAGTTAAACCACATTGCATTTACATTTTCCAAAGTACCTTCAGAATTAAAGATATTACAAAATTCCTTTTACAACACCCCCAAGTCGAAGTGATCATTCATTTATAACTGGAAAATGACACAAGCACACAATACTCTTTTCATTAAAACACTTCAACTTTGTATCTAACTGCATTCAAACAAAATTATAAAAAATTGCACACAAATCCTTTCTCATACGCGATGCTTCTCAACTATGCAGTTTCCACAACATGAGCCAAATATCAGCAAAAAGAGTACACGAACATGTGAAAGGGAAATGATATACAGATATCTTCAGTGGCAGTCTTGAGAAAGTCTATGGGTCGATGGTTCTATCTCAGAGAACCCAGAAAGTTAGGAGCAAGACTAATTACAACAATGCACCCTGCAGCTGCCTTCACATACATTGATTTTGTGCATTTCAAATACGCTGCATCTTTTTTGTACTTCTGGGAGTGCATTGATAAATTTAGAGCCTTGTGGCTAATTTGAAACATAAAAAGAACATAACTGATAATATCCTCATAAAATAAACTAATAAAGTGCAACCACACTAATACAATATTAAAGACCTCTACACATTAATGTTATGAACTAAGCTTGTGGGACAAGAGATTTTTCCCCACATAGAAAATTATTAGATTTTATCAATATTTAAAACAATCATTAATTCTTCATAAATATTACAATGAGAATCCACACTACAAAGAAATGGATAATCTGTTCAGGAAGAGGACTAAATTGGTGTTGAACCTGTTTCTTAGCAAAGTATTCTCAAACTTTAAGTAATTAGCATTGCCAAAACTATTAGGGTAAAATGAATGGCGTTTTAGGTAGAATACATCCAAGCCACAAGAATTTAATATGGCAGCAAAAAATGACTTGGAAAGTTGGGACATTATCTTAAAATTTAGAACAGCCAATAATATATACCTAAATTCACTTCAGCAATTAATGAATTTAAAAAAAGGCAGTAATAAGTGTTTACGCACAATATCGCGGGTATGTACTTTGTAAAAATCAACAGCGAATGTAAATCAGCTGTCTAAGAGTGACATTGTTCCTATATTGTGGGTTGGTTGCTTTCTGCACGAAATGCCATTGAAATAGTTTGGTCAATTTTCTAGTTGTTTGTTTCTTCCATTGTCATGTTATCTTATTCCAAGAGTCACCGACCTGTGAAACTTGATAAATTGTGCGGTAAAATGAATGTTGCTGTAATCAGAACATACATATATGGAAAGGAAATTGTTCATGTTCACAAATCAACATCCACTGAGATTGATTCTCTCCCTAATTTAGTGTCTACATCACAGCATGAACCTAATGGAGAAACCAATTCTTATATGAGCGATGAAAAATGTGTCTTCACATTCCTAACCAGATATTAACCGAACAAATCACCGTAGACCATTTCACGATGTTAGGTTATATGCTCAATCCTGAATGATACTTTTTTCATTCATATCATGCGTGTATAAAATAATTTCTACCTTGAATCTGTCCCAAAAAAGATTTTTATACCTGAAATACTTTAAATTTTACTCCTCTCATCAAGGTCAATTTTTATTCTCAAATCATCAATCGAGACAAGAATCACAAGGATATTGAGTCAATTCCACACTAAATTTCACCCAACACCAAATAAATAACCAAGCATCCGCGAATTTCATGATTGGCACTTGATTAATTTTTAATCTCTCTGTGAAAAAAATATTATAGTAACATTACATTATACAAGTCAACAACATACTATCTAGAAAAGTTTTGAATAATCAATGACATGTGGCCAGTTGGTCAATTTTAAAATATTTTTTACATACATGCAATACCATCGACCGTCCCAAACATAAGGCGGAAGAAATAGCTAATTCACAGCTATTTTGGGTTACCAACCCCAGCGCTCTCTTCTTCAATGGTCTGCTCCGTGCATATCCTTTTGGCTTAATCTTGTGATTAAGTATGTCTCCCACAGTTTATGAATTCTTCTCTCCTACATAATACTGGAACTATCCTACCCTATTCCTCGTGCCGTCTTCCTTGTGT